TTGAAAATAGAAGGCCAATTAAATGTAGGAAAGTTACAATGGAACGTTTAGTCACAATTTCGTTGGCCGCTTTCTCCGCCTAATTAAAAGCTATTCGTTGGCTAAACGGGTCATACATCAACGTCGGCGGAGGGACGAATTGCAAATTAGGATTACCTAAAAAGGACGAATGTTCCATTTCTTTGCATGATAACAAGACAAATAGGTATAAAAAAAGCTCTAAAGATTTATGGCCTCGGAAACTATATTTATACTATTATAAAGCGTAAAAACACACTTCTTTGTTTCCTAAGATGTCAGCAATTACAGCTTATTTTTGAATAATTCTTTTTTTAATAAAAATCCCTACACTTGCGTCACGCTTTAGACTATATATTTTAACGCCATTAAACTTAGGGGGTAAATATTTTAGATAAATACCTTAATGTGGGAAAGAGACCATAAGTTGCTGCCAACATCAAGGAAGCAAGGTTGTCATAATGTCATGTCATTCTGACATTTGTAATTTGACAAATGTAAACTATAAAAAAAATATAATTTCATGCGGATGAAGACGCATGGGAACAGCTAGTATTAAACAATCGCAGACTTCGTGAAACTTGTTGTTAAGGGATATATTTATAGAATTATTTCTATAAAAAGTGATCATCACATTTTAATAAATTAATCAAATGTAAGTACTTGTATTGATTAATTTTATCTTGTTCCGTTTTAATTATTTTTCTGAGAGGATTAAAGGTAATCCCGTGGGGTTTCCTGTGGCTGGTTAAATTAATTAAATGGTTTTTGTAATTTTGATGTCTAAAATATTAATATTTAAAGATTGGTTACATAAAAATGCAAAATACATTTATTATATCTAAATTAAGGCAAATTTTGTATATTATCATCGTTTCGTAAAACTTTTGTTTTGCAGAAATAATTAAAAAACATTTAGTGGCAATTAAGGCCAAGGCTAAAACGACAAAAAAATATTTGGTAATCGTGATGAGACAATTTCTTAAATTATTAATTGGCCACATCATTGGGCTGACAATTATTTTATAATTAAAAATGTTTACTATGTTGTCTCTAGCCTTTTACCTTATAAATGCAAGAAAAAGTAGTATTGACAACATTTACACTTACAGTTGGTAAAGTCGACAAATTTATGGTTTTATAACTTTTTAAAATGGAAAGCGGATGAAATTAAACATTTTAAAAAGTGCAAACGGCAACTGTACACAAAGTGCGCTTTAAAGCTTGGATTGTAGTCCTCAAAGTGACGTGAAAAGGCTTCGCTTCCACAGCTTTGCATCGCAGACACCCTTCTGACTATTCACTTTGTTACAGTTCTGACAACCGTTCTATTGCCTTTGCCTTCAACCACTTTGATACAGTGCACTTGATTGTTAAACGTTTAACTAACTTTATTTACAAAGCCTACTTTGAGTAATGTTTAACTGTATGATAAACTAGCTTTCGCCCGCGACTCCGTCCGCAATTGAAAAGAAACAAAATTCAATCCCCTACATCTATACCAAATATGATCAAAATCCGTTCAGCAATTTAGGTTACAAACTCTAACAAACATCCATCCATACCTCTAAACTTTCGCATTTATAATATTAGTATGATTTACAGCTTTGATGACATCTGTAATCGGAAAATTAAAATGGCACATACTTACGTTGGTTTAATAAATTCGTATGTTAAATTACACAGTAAAATTAATCATAACTCCGTAAACAAATGTTAAATACAACGCATAAATTACGCTGACATTTCAAGCGGTACAATTTTAATGAAAAGATTTTTTCGAAGCGATTATATTAAGCTTCTATTTTTAAACTGAACCGCGAAAAAGTCAGTCGCAGGCAACGTTCAAAAGCATTGATAAAAATCCTTACAGAGATGAAAAGACTGTCGCTCCACCTCGCGGCCACACGAACTTCCGAAAAGTTACAATTATTCCTAAAGCCTACCGCCCGACGCTTTTAATACCGCTTATTTAAACTATTCAAGACTTTAAACATTCTACTCAAATTAGAACTCATGGCGCATTTTGTTTTCGCTACTGACTCAATATTGTAAATAACTTAATTTTATGTGTATATTTTTTATAATTTCATTAAAAGACAATCCATTAGGTAATCAATCTTGCTTATAAAATCCATCCATCGATCGACTCCATATAAAATTCAACATCATACTAAGCTTTTACAAACATACCATACTTTACTGCGCTGAACACTCTTTCTAACGCTGTCCCCAAGGGAAATTTCGTCATAACCTACACTTTTGGAAGTCCCGTTAGTCATACTTCTAACATTTAATATGTTTATAAATAAGTTTTTATTTTGCCTTTATCAGATTCAATAAATTCAATATACATTAAGTAAAAGTAACAAAAACGCTGAGAAGTATATGATAAATTCTATAAAAAAAAACTTCTAATCTAGTATGCGACCCTTTTACAAAGTACACAACTTTAGGCAAGTATAAAAAGATTAGACAATTTATGTTCAACAAAAGTGGGGCATACTAGAGACGTCGTTAAAGGGTTAGGGTTATAAATCACTAGGGGGGTCAAACTCGCGCCGACGTCACCCACTGCGTCAATAATGCCGGTCAAGGACGGCATGGTACAGCCACTCTAAGTTTCTAATTATATCAACGTTTCATTATACTCAACTACTAAACATAGCATGAGGCTAACCTCACGTCAATATTTTATTGCTGAAAGACAAAACGTTTGATAAATGCTCTATTAACTTATAGTAGGTATAGGCCAAATTTTAGTCCCAATACTTCGGAATTATAAATACTTTCTAAATATTATTTACGTATGCACAATATACTGAATATACAGCGATGCATTTAATATTGATGTTCATCATTACATCAATTCAAATATACGTTAGAGAGAATCTCCAAATGCACTCTTCCATCAGAATCCCGGTATGTCGTTCCGTTTGTTTATGTCCAATAGTGTTCCAGTAACCATTTCGTCATGTTGCGTAAGAGGAACATTGTAATCTATACTAATATAATAAAGCGTAAACACACACTTCTTTGTTGCCTAAGATGCCAGCAATCACAGTATATTTTCGAATAACTCTTTTTATTTTAATAAAAAGTCCTATACTTACGTCACGCTTTAGGCTTCTATATGTATTTACAAGCCGTTAAACTAAGGGGTAAACATTTTGGATAAAAACCCTAATGTGGGAAAGAGACCATAAGTTGTTGCCAACATCAAGGAAGCAGAGTTGTCATCATGTCATGTCATTTTGACATTTGCAATTGATAATTTGACAAATGTGAACAAAAAAAATATAATTTTATGCGGATGAAGTCGCACGGGAACAGCTAGTACTTTATATGGCCCAAGTCATATTACGAACATCTGGAAATACGTAGTCATTTCTTTACACAAGAAAAGACTATCACAGGCTGCTAATTAGTACTGTAGAAAATTGTTTCTTATAATAAAAATGTTTCTAAGAAAATAAATTAGCACATCTTTCGTGCCAGAACATGTTTCATACATCTATTAATCAATCATGCCACTTCCAATCTTGCAGCTAATTATATCGAAACAACAAGAAACATGTTTCTGAAAGAAAAACATACTTCCTTGTGATATTTACGTTAGCCTCTTAGAATTTTTACGATGTATTGATATAAGAATATCTTGATACTATACGGATAAGAACATAATAGCAAAACACATGGGCTCCGTGTTACAAGAAACAAGAAGATCGATGTTCGTCTTGTGAAGCAAGTTATACATGTTTTTCTAACGTTGTTACTTCCAACCATGCTTAACGAATGATCAAATGATGTGTATGATGGATTTATGTTAGTTTGTACCGTTTGGAATTGATAAAGTAGTATTATTTGTAAGTAATCTTAATGTAATCTAATATCAAAGCTGTGTGCTATTTTGTATAACATTTAATTAAGTTAAATAATATTGTTTATTTATGCATTTTCCCGACTAACACGCAGGTTAATAATATAGCAATTATTGTCATATATTCTTATCTTTAAGAAACTAATATATTATTACGAAGAAAGGGGAAAATGTTAGAATTAAGACGTTATTAGGAATGTCTTGTGAAAAAAGTATTCAATTCTCCGTTAATTTAACCCAAAGGCAGGGCTCCTAAGTGGTAAAGAGGTTTCAATTAAGAGCTCAGTCCGTCATTAATTTTTCACGACGTTACGGTTTTACTATATTTTCTTGTAAACACAGAACAGGGCTGCATTATTATTGTAAACAAGTGTTAGTACACGAAACATTAAATATGCCAGAAAATATTAAAAAAACGTACTGTTTCAGAGAAGAAAAATTACGATAGTATATTGATAAAAATATGGCAACCCTACCTTCGTAATCCAAAGCTTTTACCTGCTTACACTTGAGACGGCTAAGTTGATGACTTAGCTTTCTTAGCCACTATTGCGCAATAATGAAGACGGAGGTGCGCTAAAAGCAACCACTGATATTTTATGTGACTATAAACAACATTTATGTGACTTTGTAATGGCGTTTACATTGTGTCGGATTGTTAAAATACAAATAAAAAAAATGTATTAGTCTTCGATAAATATAACCAACAACTGCAGTATAATTACGTAATATTGTCGTATGGTTTTGGGGACCGTCGTAAAACGTAAAGGAGGAACAAACAATTACGTTCGCAATTAAAACAGACTTAAACGTACAAAACCGTTTCGGTCTGTTTGTAAACTATTATTCAATTTGTTGATCTAATGTTTGGACGCGGTTCGTGGAAGCTGGCCAACGTCTAGTTCTACGTGACTTTATACTACGGCGCCGGTTGTTTTTATTTGCATTAAAAGTTTACTAACTGAACATTGATCCTAAATTAAATGTTCTTATTTATAAAAGAAGGAATTAGAAAATCCGTAAAAAAAACTATGACCATTTTCACTTACGTTTAATACTAGTGAAAATCTTGTTAAATGTTATTAAAAGGACATCCACTCACCTGATTTTGAAACTCTGTACCGCAATCCACGTCCGCCTTTCTGACATCGATTGTACGTCGAGAGCTCTCCATAATTATTGTTGACACGACTATAGTCCGCTAAGTGGCGGTTACCATCCAGATGATTCGGGAGGGACCTATTCCATCCCATAACATCACCAACCACGGAGCCACATACCGAAGACTCGGTTTGACTTTTAGAATCGCCATTGCAGAGATCTCCGCTGGACCTTGCTCTGCGTCCCTTGAGACCTTTAGACGAGTGCTGGCTGATGTTGGAGCCCATAGCGTGGCGGGACCTCAAGTCGGCCCCGCCGGCATCATAGCGACAGTGTTTTGTCTCGCTGTCACTAACTCTACCACGATGGTTTGGATCTGAAAAGGACACCACTGATCAAATAAAAAACATAAAACAAGTAGTCCGAGATAAAAAAAAACAGACTAGAGATTCATTGAGTGAGATTTTCACTATTATTCATGAGATTTCTCATGATCGTGTGGTTACAACAAAAATGCCTCTTTACGAGTAACTAAGTGTGTTTTAATATCACACCTTTACATCAACTAGATCTTAAGCGTATTACTTTGATATAAGAAATATGAAAGCATGTCTGTTTGATGTCGAGTGCGAGTAGGCGCTGGTACCGCGCCCTGCTTATGATGCTGTGTACATATTCATAAAAATTCACGGGACGTGAATACGAAAGCGCAACCCACTTATTGAAATCTACTATGAGAAAATACTTATATTTTTTCTATGCCAGTCAACACTTTTCTAGAAATATATTGAAAAGAACTTAGCAAGTAACATTTTTAATAAAATCCGTGTTAAGTATAATGTAACATCTTGATATTAGAACTGAGCAAAAATGTAACGAAATCTGGTTACCAGTGATAGCTCATAAAAGCACACGTATCAGGATGTGTGAGGAATATCATATGAAGTATTTTATTTAAATAAAAAACCTTGTGAAATTCAGAGTTAATAGTTATTAATGGTATATGGCGGGCAAAACAAGTGGTAATTGATTTTTGGTTTAATCAGGCCCAGGTTCATTAGTGTTGCAACCGCAATGTGTGTCGTTACACTGGATTCCACTTACGGCTTACATCAAACGACCGCTTGATAAACAGGATGATTAAAGCTAACCGAAACTAACCTCAATTTCGTTACGATCTTTTGTTCTACAGAAACTACGCAAAAACTTAGCGCAAAAACACATTCTTTCTTCGTACACAATGAAAGGTATTAAATCATTATTATTAGTTAAAAAAAACGGTAAAACCAATTGCTTTTGCAATTGCAAAACTTAAACTAAACGAATTAAAGTCGGTTCAAAAACAAAGACCGTCAAATGACGTATTATGAATACCGTCGGCAAAATGTCCGGCGTTCGAAGAATAAGATACTTTAAAATGCAAGCATTCTGAATTCTATTTATTTATGGAAGAATAAAAAAAAACTCCTTCATTGGCAAAGGCATTGTGTTATAGACAATGCCGCAGTATGCGATGCATTGTTAATGCGTTATACAATAGAACTTCCTTTCCGTTTCCGACTTTTTTTCTTATATTGGTAAATAGTGATTGTGTTTTTTTTTAACTCAGATATTCGCAATCAAGTGACAGATTAGAAACAAAATCAGAAGAATCTTTATAGCGACAGAAATAGATTCATTTTAACAAAACGTTATGACAATAATTGCAAAAATATTAATAAATTTAGAATACGAGCTATTTGAATTCGGAATAGATTTTTTTTTAATAATAGAAATACTTAGAAACGGAAGTGTATTCTAAACGTTCTAGAACATTATTGCCGTGTCACTACACAACGTTAATGTCCTCTGACATTAGAGTTCACGACATCGTTTGCATAAATTTGAAATTCCCTACAAATCGAGAAATTTCTGAGAAAAATAATTCCGTATAAAATCACCCTAATAAAGATTTAACAACAAAATTATTGTCATTGCATTACATACATCAGTCTTAATAAATATTTCTGTCTAAACCAGACAGAAGAAATCCTTTATTCAATCTATGTGAAACATAGTATGTTGTGTACAACTTCATTAGTATTGCAGACCACAAGACTTAACAGACAGTAGGTCCCACCAACCTCTGTCACATGTCAGGCACAATGCAGACTAATTTCCATGTGGTTGTGGCTTAGGGGAATTTCTTGTGAGTTAAAGCTCCTCTATGCTAGTCTATAAATGTACTTCGACATATACATTAGTCGTGTTTTGTTATGTAACTTGTGAATTTTATTGTCTCTGGCTATTTATTATGGCTATCATACTAATATTATAAATGTGAAAGTTTATATAGATAAATGCATGTTTGTTAGAGTTCATAGCCTAAACGGCTGAACGGATCCTCATGAAATTCGGCACAGACGTAGATCATAGTCAGAAAGAACACATAGGCTACTTTTTATCCTGGAAATAGTTATGGTTCCCGTGGGATACATTATTTTTGTTTTTTAATGATTATTCGATAATTCTGCAACGGTTCAACATATCTTGTTGAAATTTGGTACAGATATAAAACAAAGTCTGGAGTACAAATGGGATAAAGTTCATCCCTGAAAATGGTCCGCTTCTCGAGGGATACGTAGTTTTTTGTTATTTACATAGTTCGTATGTTTTCTACTACCACGAGGACGAAGTCGCGGGCAACAGCTAGTATATTCTAAATTTATATTGTAGCGGCTATAAATAGTTAGAGATCTGGCTGTAACTTCAGACAGCTTGAATTTTTTTTTTTATCTTCTTTTTATTTATCTTCACGAAAACAGAAGATTACTTAAAAAATTAGAAATGCTATAATTAAAATTGTATCCCGCCTAAAACACACACTATATGGTTTAATATTTCGTTTGGCTCTATTGTAAACTACTATATAACAAAGCCTATCAGATTAAGATAGAATTATCTCGCGGCATAATTAAAGCGAAGCTTCAAGCACAAATTGTAATCCATAACGAGCAGAACTACGCACTGCAAAACTAATTTATATGTACAACAATAGTATACATCTTAGGTAGTTAGTGTAATAACGTATATACCGTATCCTAACATGTAATCTATGATTATAATCTTAATAACAGAAAAGCGAAAGTTTGTATGTTTGTTAGAGGGTATCTCCTAAACCTCTGAACTTATCTCCATGGAATATAATATAGATGTAAAGCATAGTCTGGAATAACTCATAGGCTACTTAATTATTTTCTCTGTAATTTTAATATTTCAAATTTTGATAAGAGTACCTAAACCATTTAGTTTTGATATTTATAAATTTCATGATTAAAAATATGTAAAACAAAATAAATGAAATATATTTGTCTTTACCTTTGACTTAAAATTCACTTCGAACCACGTCCAAGATGTAAACAACGCTACAACTCTTGCCATTCAATGAGGAATTTCAGACTGCAAGGAAAGCTTTAAGCAAACCATTTGTATTCAGATGTGACATTTCAAAATATCTTCGGCACATAATTTGAAATTACAATAAGACTTGCTGTGTAGTTTTCGTTTAGAGAAGAAATTCTATGAAGTACTGTCATTTAAATGTGTTTCAATATATGCTTATTTACATTACATATATATGTATCTTGCATATGTTAAAGATTTCATTCAAAATATCTAATAACCTCGATGATCGTGTCTGCTCCATGACATATTTTTCAATCTATGCTAATACTAGCTTTCGCACGCGACTCCGTCCGCATGAAGTTCAGAAAATCAAAAGCTAGTAGCCTATGTGTTCTTCCAGACTATCCTCTACATCTACGACAAATTTCATCGAGATCCCTTTAGCCGTTTAGACTACAAACGCTAACAAACATCCATCCATCCATCTATTTATCTAAACTTTCGCATTTATAATATTAGTAAGAATAAGATTGTAAAAGAGAAAAAGTTGTATTTTTGTATGTATTGAAATAACTTAAAAACAACTGGGCCGATTTAAAAATCACACGCGAATGATGTTAAGCCACAGCAAGTTTATAAAATAAGCAATTGTCAGTTTCGCATAGTTTTTAAGTTACTGATATAAACGGTTTAGTATCAAAGAGTTTTAAAGTTAGCGAGTGCCGCGTAGATACTTAAGGCTTTGAGGTCTTTGAAAGTGCTTATAAAGTGAACCGACTAGTATAATTTTCCAATACTCAACAGTAGGATCGCTTTATCAGAGCAGTGGGAGGTTCATTCAGCACAAAGCTAGCGTTATAGCACGCGATTTTTTATCGCAACTATCTATACTATTATAATAAAGCGTAAACACACACATCTTTGTTGCCTAAGATGTCAGCAATTATAGCATATTTTTGAAAAAATCTTTTATTAATAATAAGCCTACACTTACGTCATGGTTTAGGCTATATATTTTCACGTCAATAAACATAATATTGTGGATAAAAACCGTAATGAGAGAAAGAGACCATAAGTTGCTGCCAACATCAAGGAAACAAGATTACCAAGGTTTGTCATGTCATCTCAGTTTGACATTTGGTGTTGATAATTTGACAAAAGTAAATAATAAAGTAAAATTTTCATAATTTCATGCGGATGAAGTTGCAAGGGAACAGCTAGCGTCTGTATATTTGTGCAAGACTGTGCGTAAACGCAACTAAATATCGGTGTTATTTTATAATAATATCGAGATACTAGGACAAATTCAAAAAAATACTTGTTTAAAGCTGCATAAGAAATTGAAAATCGATTTACTAATAAATGCCTATCATAGTACTGAAATTAAATTATAACTGTCAGCTAATACTCGTAGAAGTAAAAGTTAATGGTTAATAGAATTTCAAAGGCTGAAATCATATGGTTTCTGCGACTTATATCTTATCTATTGGTACGTTGTAGATTTCTAGACATAAGAAAAACAATATTACGTAACTTTTAATTCATTTACTTTCACATTATTGCATATATTTCTGGAAATAAAATATTAAATTGTCAAGTGATTTAAATTATTATTCAATAATTAATTAAAAATTTACTCTAAATAAAAATTACGTAAACATGTATTAAAATAATTCAGTATGAAAGTTATTACTGTTTTCGAGTCTTTTAAAGAGTTAGCGTAAAAGTAATAAAATGGGGGTAGGTAATAAACTTAGCGTAGCTAGAGTAGAGCGCAGTACTTAAACCAGAGTGCCCTCATGCAGTAGGACCGATCGTAACAGAGCACGAGCCCGATATTAATACCAGGATAGCTTCCAAACTACCCTCGTTGTCAAATGATGGAGGACATCTTACTATTATTAAAAAATTTGAAAGTTCAAAAGGACTGATGGATGTTTATTAGAGTTTGTAGCCTAAACGGCTGAACGGATTTCGATGAAATTTGGCATA